CGTTTTTTTTTTTTTTTGGGGGGGGGGAAGGGGGGGCATAAGCAAAGCACCGGTTCCTCTTTTCACATCATCATTCTGCACAGTCCGCCCTTTCGAAACATTGGCTAAGGGCATACTGGCACTGGTAGTAATTTATCAAATGGGTCTGGGTCGTATTTAGGGCTAGATACATCCAGGAAAAAGACCCTAGTGTGAGTATATGCCCTCTTTGGGGTCGTCTATCTAAAATTATCGCCTGCCTGTTTTGGGGGCTTATACCCCTTTTGGGTATGCCCCAATTGTCAACGAGGGCACCCCCAAAATGCACAAGGAGACCTTTTGGGGCACCCCTTTTTCTTGGGGTGAACTCCTTCAATGGACCTTCGGGGACCCCCTTCAATGGACTTTGGGGACCCTCGCCTATGGACCTTTGGGGTCCCCTCTGAATACACTGTAGGGGTCCATCCTCAATGGACTTTTGGGGTCTCCCTTCGATGGACTTTTGCCGTCCCCTCTCAATGGACTTCTGGAGTCCCCAATTAATGGACTTTTGGGGACCCCAAAAAGGTCTCTTTTCGCATTTTTCGGGAGTGCCCTCTGAAAAAGGTATCGCCTGACTGTTTGTTTCTTGGGGTGACCCTGGTAGACCAAAATTGATGGAGCAGTCCCTAAATGAAGTTTTGCCCCTTCCCCCCCCCCCCTTCTCTCTCTTCAATTACTTCTGGGGTCCCCTCTGAATGAACTTTCAGGGTCCATTCTCAATGGACTTTTGCAGTACCCTCTCAATGGACTTTTGGGCTCACCCTCAATGGACGCTTGGGTTCACCCCGCAGTGGACAATTTCCATATCCCCCTCAGTGAATTTTTGAACCCATAATGAGAGTATATTAACACGGGGAAGGCTGGGAGGGGACTCGCAGCAGGGGAAAACAAGAAAAAAGGAAGAAAAGAGAGAGAGAGAGAGAGAGAGAGAGAGAGAGAGAGAGAGAGAGTGTTTGCCAAAAATGGACTTCAATTTGTCAGAACAGTGTCCTCTCCCCATAATCCATATCTTCTTGTCTTTTTTTTTTTTTTTTTTTTTTTGTGCTCATCCCCGTGTTCATCGTTGTTGTGAATGCCGAGTGATTTGATTTATGAATGAAGTTTGAGATAAAAAAAAGGAAAAAAAGAATGCCTGGTGATGTCAGAGCTGCAGACTTCTCTGCAAATCTAACTCCTTGATATGTAAGCCTTTCAGACTGGCAAGGGGGGCGGCAACTTTGTAATTTCCTTTTTCCTGTGGGGTTCGTTTGGAATTTAGAGAACCATGCACAGAAATACCCCCTGCTGAAAATCCAAAATTCCAAATCTAAAAAATAAAAAAATAAAAAAATAAAAAATAAAAAATCAAATCTTGTGGCTCGCGTTAAAAGACAAAAAATAGAAAAAGAAAAAGAGAAAAAGGGGTGAGTCACACTTGTCATTATCTATGTGTTCATCACTGAATTACCAGCCCCCCAAAAAGCTAAGAAAAAAATATACTTTTGTGAAAATGGGTAGTTATGTCAGGATGTCAGGAGCTGCAGGCTCCTCTGTCAGTCTGACTTCTTTCTTTCTATAGGTTTCTCAGACTGGCAAACGAAGTGCCAAACTTTTAACGCTTTTCATTATTTTTAATTATTTCAATTTATTTGTCCTTATGTTCCATGATTTTCCATCCTTCGGGACATCCGTTAAAATTGGACTGATACAGAGAAGATTGATAAGCATGGCCCCTGCGCAAGGATGACACACGTAAATCGAGAAATGGTCCCCCAAAAAAAAAAAAAAAAAAAAAAAAAAAAAAAAAAAAAAATTTTTCATAAAAAAAAAAAAAAAAAAAAAAAAAAAAAAAAAAAAAAAA